GTATTTTTTTTAACAAAAACTAAAAAAAGTAACGAAATACAACGGACTGGGGTACACAAAGGACTTAATCAGATACGTAAAAAAGAAACTATATAGGGTGGTACGATTTTAGAGTAATGCATAAACAAAATCCCTTGTAGTGGTGCTCACTTGCAGAATAACAACTTAGATTTCTAAATTGTAGACACCCTTTTTCTTTGACTATAAGCTGGTGAAGGTCCCTTTTAGTACTTTTACATTGCGTGGAATTTTCCCTTGGATGTAATCTATATCATGAGTTGTAATTACAAATAATTTTAAATTGGTTAATCATAAACTACTTTTAATAAAAGCGACGGTAAATATCCACTTTGTAGTCGAAAAATTCTATTGCGTTACCCTAAATTCCATTGCGTTACCATAAGGTAACATAGTGGACTCGGTAACGCAGTGGACAAAGTTTTGTAAAACCATATTTAAAAAATAATAATAAGATATTATAGTAATTAATTACTCTCAATGAGCTTTAGTGCCCTAAAATAAACATAAACATGAAAAATAGTATTTTTTCTTACCTTATTTTTATTATTTTTTTGAGGAACTTAGCGGACAAACAATTATTACATTCGTGTTACCCAGGTGTTTCAACCGATATCTTCTTCCTGATTGAATAAATAAATTCAGCTGGGTAATGTGTACGTCCGAACATCATTTGTTGATCACGTGAGTACCAAAAAAATTGCCATATATATGTTTTTTTAATATTCTATCGGTAACGCGACGGACGTAACGCAACGGAAAAATGTCTGAGATATGAGTCAAATTTAAAAAAAAGTAGATTAAAATTAATTATTTTATATATAAATTGTTTACTGTATTAACTAAGGATGTTATGGATTGCTATAAAGCAACACAAAGTTCTGGTTATTCAATATTTAAAAAACATGTATGTAAGTTTTATAAAACGCTAATGGAACATGCAAATGTGTTTCACAAATTTCAAAATTAAAAAAAAATTATTCTGAAATAACTAAACAAAAATTTTCTGAAAGAGTTTACTTGGTTTTTAAATCAATAAGATCCGATAATTTTTAAGTTATTGGAATTCAAACTTACGGACAGCGGAAGGCGGGTGTTTTTTGAAAACGACCCGTATATGAAACTAAACGATTTAACACTGAACTATAAAAGAACATGAATATTTTTATTTATATTTTTTGTGATTTTTACTGTGGTATTTATGTGTTAGTATAATAAAATAAAAATGATCTTTTATAATTAGGTATTTGAATTATTTTTACATGAAATCACAACACAATAATGTATTTTACGCTTGCATTTTTATCACAACTTTCCATTTTAACGCTAAGGCAAAGACTAAATAGAAATAAGAAACTATAAACACGCATACATCTAATTAATAAGCTTTGTTTACTAAAACATTCCACGCCCCGCCCAGTCTTTTACAACGGCTGATAAGCGAGCCGCACAGATCTCGGGACTGACTCTGCTGTCTTCCATATACCGTGGTACAAGCCCAACTTTGTGGGCCTCAATGTCTACAAAAATTCGCGTATTATCCCCGCCTTGCGGGGGTGCCGGCGGCACCGTGCAGCGGTGGGGAGCATGATGTTGTATCGGCAATGTGTGACGTATATGAAGCGCAAATTTATGGGATTACTATTTCCCTATTATGACTGGAAATTAGCTTTAAAACGTTTTATATTAAAATAAGTAATGTATCGAAAATTTATATAAACGTATCTTTGCGAAAGCAACCTTTTTAGTACAAAATTTAAATTAATAAATAATAATATTTATACAAACAAACAAGTTTTTTGAACCTACTACAAACCACTGATAAAGTTGTAAACGAAGTATTTTAAGATGTCTCTCTCACAACCGTAATTTTATTTACAGCGGCCCTTTGGCCACTTGAAGTTGGTCAGCCCTGTTCTAAATAATAAAAAAGGGTCTCGACGACATAAATGTTAAGCATTTGCATTGACAAATTCCTTACGCGCCTCAAAATATATTATTCCGTACCGACCGCGGTCGCACATTGGCACGAATGCTAAAAAAATAACTTTTAGTTAAATGGTCAATTAAAATAATTAAAATATTTTTTTATACCTATATACTATAAATAAATACAAAAATAACATACTAGTATATTAAAGAACTAATGTCAGACACTGTTTAAAATATCTGTGGTGTAAAGAGTAATCTTAAACACCATGAATTATGGTTGAAAATATTATATACAGCAAACACCAAAACGGTGTTTATCTAAAAATATTTGAGAAGTGCACCTACACAAAAAAAAGGAATAGTTCAATTAACTATATTAATTTAGTTGACCCATAAGTATTTATTTAAATCAACTGTGGGAAGGTTAATATAAACAAAGATTAGTTTGACGGTACTAAACCAGATAGTTATTTTATTTTTTAAATTGGTTAAATTAACCCAGAAAACTTTAGTGAAACCAACCCGCTGTATAGTTCAGTTTACTAAATATGTTGTTTGTAAAATAAGAGTTACTTCAACCTAAAGCACTCTGTTAAAACGATTAAAACAATTTGCCGTGCATTCCTGGTTACATAGTGTGTACCGATCGCGGAAAAGGCGGTGTGGATCACGTGATGTTCTTAAATCTCGCCTCTGTTGACTTACATGACTTACACATTTTGAACAGTGTAGTGGTTGAGATTTTGGCTGTTGGTCCGTTTTTTTTTAATTGTCCCAATGTGCGACCAAAGGAATATTACCGTCAATAATTCAATGGCAAGAAAGTGACCTGCATGCAAAAATCATTTGGAACAAATTTGGAAACAGGAAATATTTTAAATACCTACTCGATTTAGGAAATATTTATAAATTGAATAAACCAACCAATGTTGCTTTATTGTGTAAGATTAATGGCTCTAATTTTCTGCCATACTGGTCAGACTTAAATAATGTCATCCACTATTAAAAAAAGAATATTTATCACCCGCCAATTAGGATTTTCCTGAATGATTTCCTTCAAAAAGTTTAATCAAAGTCGCAAGACCCCATGTTTTTGTTTTGCCTCCTATTGATTTATTTTTACATTTGTTCAACCAAAGTCTTATTTTTTATGTATTTTGAAATAACATTTTAGCAATTAAAGTGCTTTATTCTCTAAGTTTTTAGTTGTTTTATCTAAATTGTAAAATTAGTACAATTTAGCATATAGGATAACGATTTTATAAGTCAAAAAGTGTGCGTTTCGGGTGTTTCACGATTCTGACCATTGACCATCTTCAGCAGGTTTCCACATTACCCAGAAGGTACTGCTCATTTTTACCTATCTTACAATAATTATTTGTAGATTAATAAAGTCACAACCGCACAACAACAAAATAATAATGTACAAGCACAGTAGGGATTTAACACTGAACTATAAAAAAACATGAATATTTTTATTTATATTTTTTGTGATTTTTACTGTGGTATTTGTGTGTTAATATAATATATTAAACTAAAAATGATCTTTTATAATTATATAAATTATTTTTACATGAATTCACAACACAATAATGTATTTTATCTCCACGCGGTCTATAATTTAAACTTTATTGTTGTCAACATTCGATAAAGAAATACCTTGTTATGGCCTAGGCCGATAAAAATTTTTATGAGGCAAGTAATTAGTTCGATTTTTTCTCGCTAGGGGTATTGTTTTGACAAATTAATCCTTTTCTAAGAAATTAACGTACTAAACTGGTTTAATTTATTTATAATAAGCACTAATTTGTTTGTTTTACTGTTACAACATTATAATGTTTAATATTTTTCATTAAATTATTGTAAAATTAAATATGAATAATAAAACAAAAATTGAGGTTAGGACATTGCAATTTGACGTTTCACAGTTGTGTTTTCTTTTTCTACGATTTAAATTATCTTTAAATTTTAATTTGCTTTAAGTTTTCAGTAAAATTAAATCTTAAACACAGCGTAAACATTCCAAACTACCTATTTTTTTAATAAAAATGCAAACAAATTGAAATTAGATACCTATTTATTAAACAATTAATTGAATTCAATGTAATAGCAAGAGGGTAAGTAAACCATTTTCTTACAAAAATCCATTTCTACTTAAATCATGTAGCTAGGTATTGTCAAACTATTACTGCTTCTAAAAGGAATAATAATTATTGTAAATTTAATGTTATCTTTAGCTAATAAATAAATGAGATTCAAAAAAGTGAGGTTAGACCGCTTTCATGTTGAATTAAATTGACCTATATAAAGTGCTTTGAAGATAAAATGTTGTATGCCATTCGGCCAAGAAGTGTCTTTTTGTGCTTCGCTCAATTGTAGGCCTCCGCTACGCGTCGGCCTTCAAACTTTGAGCTTAGCACAAAAAGCCTTACTTCTTAACCTAATGACATAAATAACTATTACGCTTGCATTTTTATCACAACTTTCCATTTTAACGCTAAGGCAAAGACTAAACAGAAATAAGAAACTATAAACACGCATAGATCTAATTAATAAGCTTTGTTTGCTAAAACATTCCACGCCCCGCCCAGTCTTTTACAACGGCTGATAAGCGAGCCGCACAGATCTCGGGACTGACTCTGCTGTCTTCCATATACTGTGTTACAAGCCCAACTTTGTGGGCCTCAATGTCTACAAAAATTCGCGTATTATCCCCGCCTTGTATCGGCAAATTACAGGCCTCTAAAAGTATAATATTTACCAACCATCTACCACATAATCACTGTCATAAATAACGTTTTACTATTTTTTTTTATAAAATTTTACTTTGTTTCGGGTGTACCAAAATTAAACACCTTATATGGACAAAATCGGTGTTTTATTAGTATCTATAGACAAACCATTATAATGGTTTAGAAGGGCTATCACAAAAACACACTTCATTGCTTAAATTATTTTTATTACTTCTAAATCATATTATAAATTAAATAAATTATTAAATTTCTTAAAAAATTACCAGGGAAAACAAGTGTTTCTTTATCTGATTAGGATTATTCCTTCCATTTGGTATAATTGATCGAAGGTAATGTGTTGCAATCTTGCAATTTATTTCCACTTAAAAAAAAATTAAATACGAAATGTTTAGTACTATTTAAAGCCCGCGGGAGGAATTAACCAATCAGAGCATCTGTGCTGGAATTGGTTAATCACTTTCGGCAAATTTAAGACAATTTTACTTACAAAATTGACGTGTATTTGAATCCCTCAGGCTGCATGTAATCAGTGGTTGGTGAATTGTCGCACAACAATCTTGAAATAGATGCTTTCCTAATCTCATTTAGTTGATCTGAAGAAAAAAAGAATCCATTCGATATTTTTTTGGACTTTTGTCATTCAAATTCTTACCTAGAGTAAATCCGGTCTTGCCACTACGTTCAAACCAAAATCTATCAGAAAGCCTAGTTTTAGAAAATTGTTTCAGCATAATGCATACAAAAGTTGGGCCTGCTAAAGCTCCCTGTACATGATTTTCCACAGATCCGCCTGTTGTCAATTCTATGTCATCCACACTTTTATAAAGTTTTTGGAGTAGTATTATGGCCTAAAAGACAAAGACATATTTTGTTCTTCTCAAGTAATGTAGCAGCTGATTCAAATTGGAACAACATAGATTACAAAGACATTTCAAGAAACAATTAACATTAATACTGTAAAAACAAGAGTTCTATAAATAGTTACCTTAAACCCTGATAGCACAGTTTATTCTAAGAATGTTTTTTAAACCTTCCACTGGGAATATTCTTAGGATCATGCTATATTTCTTCTAGTCATGTTCTAAGAATGTTTTTTAAACCTTCCAGTGAGAATATTCTTAGGATCATGCTATATTTCTTCAAAAGAACATGCTTAAAAGAAATATAGCATAATCCTAAGAATATTCTCACTGGCCTATAGGCAGGTTCTTAGAAGGTGCAAAGTTTAGTGGTAAAAATTAATCCACTCTAAACATATGCTTAGAATGTTGAGAAAGTAATTGCTATAAAAAGTTAATTTAGGAATATTCCTGGAACATTCTGTTAAGCATATTCAGCTCAGTTAGGTACCTGGTAAAATATACCATAATCTACGTATAAAGGAACCTATACTTAGTATTAAATACTAAGTAAAAAACACACCCCAAAATATTTTTTTATAGTTATTTGTCAAATTAAAACAATATTCAATAACAAAAATACTTTTACTATAGGTATCTAAATTATCCGGCTTTTACATAAAATCTTCTATCCAACTTAAATACAATGAAAAATGTTTTTTTTATGGAGAACTATTTGGTTTTTTCTTTTATGAAGAATTATTTTATAAGAAAATATTTTGTTTTTTTATATTTTATTTTATGTTAAAAATAAATATTTATTAATTTGTATACCGATTTTTTATATCTGAATTAACATTTTTATGTATAATAATAACTATTTTCAACTTCAATCTAATCTGACTTATCCCACAAAATTTTCCAATTTTACTTTTTATGAAATAATGTCATACAACTTATGGTTTAGAGGTCAAATTGTTTATTTAATATTTTTAAACAAATATATATTAATATGTCGCAAAATTTTTTAAGGGGACGACAAATGCATTTCACTGTCATATTATGACAGTGAGGCGTATTTGTCGCCTCCTGAAGAATTTTACGAATGTAGAATCTAACATATTAGAACGTGGGTATCTGACATATTCTCAAAAGCTTCCCAGAAGCTCCATAAGAAACCTTCTAAGAACATTCCAAAATCGTATTCTTAAAATGTTCTTAGAATGCTTTTTAGGAAGGTTTTAAGAAGCTTCTAAGAATCTAATTGCATCATTAAAAGGGTATCTATTGAATGTTTTAAAAGTCCCTAAGAACATTCTTAGCAATAAGGGAAGATTCTAAGAATATTCCATTATTCCGGGTCATATCTTCTTAGAAGATTCTTAGAATCAAATTTTGCTATCAGGGAAGTCAAATCATTAGATTACGCTGTATACAATTACAACTTTCTCAGTCGGTAATAATATAAAACTACTTTATTTTGGGTACAATATAGGACAAAAAAGTTCGCACGTTACTTTGGTGGTAAGATTTTTGTTTTTTTGTTAAGAGCAGGGCTGTGTTTAAATAACAATAAAAAATATTTCTTAAAAGTGTACAGATCAGTGTGTGGTATAAATGTCACATTTCACCCTATGAGATGAAAAATATTTTTTTGATAATAAACTTACCAGCTCATTTATTTCGCCGGATAGATCAGAGAATTTCGTTGCACGTTTTAGTCCACAAAGTTCACGGTAATCGTTGTAAGAACGAAAACCGTGGTCGCGGTTCCTCTGGACATCTGCTGCCTTCATATCCTTCCCGAACGTTTTCGCTTTCTTGAACAGGTATTGGGTTATCTAAAACCGCATCCATCGCATTTTTGAACACCTTCAGTTCTTTTACTATGCACTACTTACCTCGCTAGTGTGGAAAGTATCGACGTTGGACTCAAGCTGCGTCGTCAATCCTCTGCATAATCCTCCAAAATTGTCGCCTTCCTCCAAAAAACTCGGTCTGTCGAACCAATTGCTGAGCCGTACGGAAGAATAAGACAACCTGAATTTATCAGAATACAACCTAAAATAAAATAGTTAAGTCAATGTTATTACACTGTTTAAAATATCTGTGGTGTAAAGAGTAATCTTAAAATGGTCTCAAAATCCAACACCAAGTGGTGTTAATATAAACACCATGAATTATGGTTGAAAATGTTATATACAGCAAACACCAAAACGGTGTTTATCTAAAAATATTTGAGAAGTGCACCTACACAGAAAAAAAGGAATAGTTCATTTAACTATATTAATTTAGTTGACCCATAAGTATTTATTTAAATCAACTGTGGGAAGGTTAATATAAACAAAGATTAGTTTGACGGTACTAAACCAGATAGTTATTTTTTTTTAAATTGGTTAAATTAACCCAGAAAACTTTAGTGAAACCAACCCGCTGTATGGTTCCGTTTACTAAATATGTTGTTTGTAAAATAAGAGTTACTTCAACCTAAAGCACTCTGTTAAAACGATTAAAACAATTTGCCGTGCATTCCTGGTTGCATAGTGTGTACCGATCGCGGCAAAGGCGGTGTGGATCACGTGATGTTCTTAAATCTCGCCTCTGTTGACTTACATGAAGAGTATATAAGCTCAGGTAGTCCTTTGCTTTAATGTGACACTACAAGTTGTTCGATAATAAAGAGACCTTAAATAGGTGGAAACAGCTGTCAATACTTGAAGTATTTTAAGTTGGTGGAACGCACTAAAAACATTATCTCGAGTTGAAGGTTCAATTTTCTGGAATAATACCACTGGTAATATACTTGTAATGCGTCAAGGAACTTCTTGTTTCCTTTTTTTCTGTGTAGTATGATTTAATTTGACCAAAAACACATAATATTTAACACTGAAAAGGAGTTCAATTTACACCAGGTAAAATTTATTTTAATACTGTGAAAGTTAAATTTACACCATTTTAGTATTTGAATTTACACTGGACCAACGAACCATATTTAACGCCATTTTGGTTTGGTATCGATATAGACCATGTATGGTGTTAATTTTGTGTTAAAATGGTCATGAAATTTAGAACAGAGTATTATTTTTTATGCTTACTTTAAATATCCTTCAATATTGCTGTGGAAATATCTGTTTGCGGCATTGGCGTGTTCGTTGTATACTGCCGGGTTGACACTGCTGTCATAATCATCCACAAAATCATCAGTATCGTAAATGATTTTGTAATTCAACAGGTTGTCTCTTCCCAGGAAAATGGGCAACATTTCGTAGTAGGAAACGTATTGGTGCTGGCCGATGCAGATTTTTCTCGCTTCCTGGAATAGCTTTTCGTCATCCCAATGAGGATTTAGTTCTGCCAGAATGTCGCATACTCGGTTGTGCTCGCGCAGATAAGCCACTTGCAACACAGTCAGCTGTAGGTTCTGGTTTCCTCTTTTATCACCTTCGATGATGTAATAACGAAATAATTAGTTAGCTGCTATGAAACAAAAAGTCGTATTGTACCTGTCAAATAACATGCTTCCTCGGTGTTGGGTAGGAAACAGGTTTTAGTAGGCGTAGGATCGCGCGGTGGCCAATCCTGTTCGTTTCTATTTTCGACCTTAAGCTTACCTCCCAACCCAGTTCTTAGTTCTTGGCTTTTAGCTAAACTGTTACCATAAGTAACGGAAAGATCCAGAATTGAATTAACATCGGACACCTAAAGAGAATTGTCAACGATACATTTAAAGCATACGAACTGTAGATCATTTTTAAATAAATAGGTAGTTTTTTCACAAAAGAAGTCTTGCTCGACAAATTTTGTTCGTTATACTTACTTGTTCAACTGGCTCATTTTCAGTATAACAGCCCTGATCACGGTCTGTGGTGGTTCTTATAAAACTTATGCATTTAATTCCGGCCAGAGACATCCTATCAGTGATGTCGAACGGTACCTCAATCGCAAAACATTTCGGATTTTTTGAGGTTTCATTAGTACAGCAATTATCTGGTCCTACAATGATAATACTTTTGTTAAATCGTCATGTTAAAAGTGTTTTCATGCTAAGCACTTTGTGTTTTATTTTGGTGTTCGGGAATATTTGTACACAGAAATATCTGTTTGAAAAACATTATTTTCTTAAATTGGTTGGAAACAGTTGCAGTTTTAGTTGCTGTTAGGAAGTGTATCATTGTGAGGTTATTACCACATTTCTGGTGAGTAATTATTGAATATTATTTTTCCGAATAGGTGGGTAGGTATTTGCGAAATTGTTCAGGGACTGAGATAAATCAATAATTATGACCTGGTGATCAAATGAGGATAAAAAGTGTTTCTATGTTCCTACTGCGCTTAGCGCTACATTATTGATCAGCTTACTACTTACTTTAGTTTGTAATTTATGTTTTCAGTTTATATTAACTTAATTCTATCCTTACAAAATTTTTGTGTTGGTCGCTGAATACATATTTAATCTATCTACATTTGTACTGTTGTACTTCATGTTGAATTATATGGGTCATTTTCAAGAAACATCCGCTTTCAGGAAAATGAAGATCAAAATATTTTTTTTGCTTAAATTGACTTTTGGTTGGATTTTTATAAATGTTTAGAGTTTTGTTTACCTACTTACATTTAAGACAGGCAGTGCACTTTTTAATTTTTTTACGTTTTTTTTTCAAAAAAATGTGTTTAGCTAGCTTTATATATCTACATTACCAATTTGAAATCCAAAATTTAATTCAATAAAAAAAGTTTTTATAAAAATAATTTAAAATAAAATGTAGGTACTTAATTCACAAACTTTTGACTTCAATTTTTTATTTTATTTTTTATTAAAAATTGTATGCTTTCTTTTTAAATATGTATGTTCGTTAAGTTACTTTTTAAAAGAAACCATTCCGATTCTTAGTTAAAAAAAACAATACCATTAATTTTTTCTTTTAGTCACTGTATTAGTGAATTAAACTCTAATTTATAAACACGTATTACCAAGTGATAGTGTATAAAAATCATTTTAAGTATTTTTCTTTACAAAAACTAAAAAAAGTAACGAAATAGACATTGGTATCACAACGGACAGGGGTACACAAAGGACTTAATCAGATAACGTAAAAAAGAAACTATATAGGGTGGTACGATTTTAGAGTAATGCATAAGCAAAATCCCTTGTAGTGGTGCTCACTTGCAGAATAACAACTTAGATTTCTAAATTGTAGACACCCTTTTTCTTTGACTTTAAGCTGGTGAAGGTCCCTTTTAGTACTTTTATATTGCGTGGAGTTTTTCCTTGGATGTAATCTATAAATTGGTTAATCATAAAATACTTTTAATAAAAGCGACGGTAAATATCCACTTTGTTGTCGAAAAATTCTATTGCGTTACCCTAAATTTCATTGCGTTACCGTAACAGGTAACAGTGGACTCGGTAACGCAGTGGACAAAGTTTTGTAAAACCATATTTAAAAAATAATAATAAGACATTACAGTCATTAATTACTCTCAATGAGCTTTATTGCCCTAAAATAAATTTTATTATTTTTTTGAGTAACTTAGCGGACAAATAATTATTACATTCGCGTTACCCGCACCTGTTTCAATCGATATCTTCTTCCTGATTGAATAAATAAATTCAGCTGGGTAATGTGTACGTCCGAACATCATTTGTTGATCACGTGAGTCATATATATGTTTTCTTAATATTCTATCGGTAACGCGACGGACGTAACGCAACGCAAAAAATGTCTGGGACATGAGTTAAATTTAAAAAAAGTAGATTAAATTAATTATTTTATATATAAATTGTTTACTGTATTAACTAAGGATGTTATGGATTGCTATAAAGCAACACAAAGTTCTGTTTATTCAATATAAAAAAAAACATGTAAGTAAGTTTTTTAAAACGCTAATGGGACATGCGAAAATGTGTGTTTCACAAGTTTCAAAATTAAAAAAAAAATTATTCTGAAATAACTAAACAAAAACGACCCATATCTCAATATTATTAGAATTAGCTATACGAATTTTATTTTCAGTATGTAGTTTATGTTTTGTTATGTTTTGTTATGTTTATTTTATGTTGTAATTTATATTAAGTTTGGGTGTTCTATTTTCCTTATTTTTTGTATAAGTCTCTGAATACATAGGTATCTAAATTAATTATTAATAATAATAATAATAATAATTTTTCGAGTATTTACCTTCTTGTTTAATATTACTCAAGTCGTGAGCCACAATTTGACCATACTGCATGAGAATTAAAGTCCATATCGGATCTTTCAACGGTATATCAGGGTATAACTTGTTACTTATGGTACGTGCTGGTGTAAGCGGTCCTCCATCTTTAGCTTTATACGGAGTTGAAATACCTAAAAAATAAAACAAATTAAAGCAACTTTTATTAATAAATTATAAATTTTAAGTAACAAAACAATTTTAAAATCTTACCATCGTCATAGTTCGCCTTTAAAAGCCTATCGTAAGTAAGGTCTGGTTTTCCATAAAGTGGATAACCTAAATTATTGCATGTTCCATCGAAAGACCTATACAAATAACCTTTATCACACTTTGGTGCTTCTGGGCAATTTGAATAAACTGGACTTAAATAGTAAAGAAAATTGAATAACAATACAGCAATATGCATGGACCTCATCACCTGAAATAATAGTTTTTTATGTCATTAGGATAAGAAGTAAGGCTTTTTGTGCTAAGCTCAAGGTTTGAAGGCCGACGCGTAGCGGAGGCCTACAATTGAGCGAAGCACAAAAACGCATTTCTTGGCCGAATGGCATAAAACATTTTATCTTCAAAGCACTTTATATAAGTCAATTTAATTCAACATCAAAGCGGCCTAACCTCACTTTTTTAGAATCTCATTTATTTATCAGCTTAAGATTACATTGAATGTACAATAATTATTATTGCTTTTAAAAGCAGTAATAGTTTGACAATACCTAGCAACATGATTTAAGTAGAAATGGATTTTTGCTATTACATTGAATTCAATTAATTGTTTAATAAATAGGTACCTAGGTATCTAATTTCAATTTGTTTGGATTTTTATTTAAAAAATAGGTAGTTTGGAATGTTTAAGGTGTGTTTAACATTTAATTTCACTGAAAACTTAAAACAAATTAAAACTTAAAGATAATTTAAATCGTAGAAAAAGAATCGTGCGTTTTCTTGGTTGCCTAACCTCACTTTTTGTTTTATTATTCATATTTAATTTTACAATAATTTAATGAAAAATATTAAACATTAACAGTAAACAAACAAATTAGTGCTTATTATAAATAAATTAAATTAGTTTAGTACGTTAATTTCTTAGAAAGGGATTAATTTGTCAAAACAATACTCCTAGCGAGAAAAGATCGAACTAATTACTTGCCTCATAAAATTTTTTATCGGCCTAGGCCATAACAAGGTATTTATTTATACACTTATTTCTATTTTAAAAACATTATTTTTTCGCTAAGCTATTGTTACTCTAGTTGAACAATGAAAATATTGATCTACTAGTGGAACAATGAAAAAAATCTACAAACCTGTTTTTTTTTCAAATTTTGTTTATTTAGGGTTGTTATTTAACACCTTAAAGTGGATTTTGTTAAATAAGCCCTTAAAAAAGAAAAGAGAAAAAAATTGTCCCTGGGTCACAAGTTTACTAATATATTAAAAAAACTTATATAAAAATGCTTAATTATTTTGAAAATATATTTTTTTGCTTGTTAATAATACTTTTAAGGTTTTATTTACACTAGGATTTGTTTAAAAAAAGAACAAATTTATTATTTATAAAAAAAAATTGAGTACAAAACTAAGTTAAAGCAAAAACTATGTTCTATTTCTCAACTTTTTTACATACATAAGTATTTTTAATATATTTTTTGTATTTAAAAAATGTCCATTAAAAGAAGTGAGTTTAAGAAATTTTTTTTTAATTCGTAAGTCAATATAAACATTGTTTCGTTGAACTACCAAAAATCCAGATTCTTTGAGGCAAAATACATTGATTAGTAAATATAAAAATTTGTATTTTTGCCCTTAAAACCATTACTAGGATCCTAATAATTTAATAATAATAATTTAAAGTTGAGGGACAGCAAATGTACAAGAAATTTTAATATAACCTATATATTGTGTTCAGGAAGTGAGATCATCTGTAGAAATCATAAAAATCATGTACGGATATTGTAAAACATTCAAAGATTAAAAAGAAGTATGATGGATTTAGAAAGACCTGAACAATCAGGTAATTCATGATTTCACCCACAACGAAACTTTACTTCTCCCACGAGTGGACGAAAATTCCTTGTGGTAGTTGAATAAAATATTGTGTTCTCTTTCCTCTACTAGTCGCACAATATACATACCATTTAGTTATATGTTATAATTAAAGTAAGTATACTTACCAAGTCAGTGTATGCACAAACAACTAAAATTTTTAATTCACGAATGTCTTTTATATCCAAAAAAATGTGTTATTTTTTTATAATTTATGTAAATATAAATTTGAAGACTATTTGTTTTAAAAGTTGAATTTAAAATTAATATCTATAAGTATTTGATAATATAACAAAAAAAACAACACGTTTAATGATAAATGTTTTTAGGTATCGCTAATATAAGGGAGTCCAGTGTTATTTTGATAATAAAAAATCAATTTACATTTTTTTTATTTTAATTTTTAAACTGTTTACGTGTTACAAGTAACGTTATTAAATACAAAAATAGTTTAACCCAGCAATTTAATTTAAAACCAATTTAAAAAAATATGCTACAAATTATGTTTTTAACTTTATGTAAAAAATCATAAAAAAATTCACATTTGTGTTATCGTTTTTTTTTTGTTTTGCATTCACAGCTATTTTTAGGAACTTGCTATCATATCCAGATGATTTCGGATTTCATCTGCCGCTGCAGAGTTGTTCTAATGTGTCAACTTTTAAAAAAAGGATATTTATTTTCAAGATTTTTTTGAACGTATTACTTTAAAAAAAGTTTAATTAAGGCCATGAATTTCTTATACGAAATTCTTCTTTCACCTTAAAAAAGTAATTTTGCAATAGGGTAAACCACATAGTTATTGGACACTGAGGGAATATTATTTATTTAAAATTTATATATGCCGTTGTTTTAAAGATTTTATTTTTTTTCTTATAAATATATAAAAAGGATAGTTTGTTTGTTTAAACTTTATTCACGTTTACTTAAAAATAAGAATATTTCAATTTTTAATAATAGTTTTATAAAACATTACATTGGACATACAATATTTATATAAACATAACAACTTTACATCAAATAATATAAATTGTTAAATATTTTTTAAAGATAAATTGCTGTTTTAGGTAATTTTTTTTATTTCGGTTTTGTAAATATCATATAATTCATATATTTCTTTCTCGGATTCCTCATCCCTTTTCTGGATTCTGAAGGTAACCACTAATTACTTGGTATGACTTGGTATGACTTCTGAAATAGTTTGTTGCAAATATCATTAAGTGTGGTATCTCTAGTTTGTGAAGCATTTATAATGTTTAGGCCGGATCAGGATAATATCTAATATTTTTTCGGGTGGTATGTTAAAAGTATTTTTCGAATTTATTAATTTTGTTGCCATTAGATTTTTATGTTATCTATCATGCACTGTATTTAAATCACTGTTATTCTTCAAGATGTCCTGTGACGAAGATATCACTATATTACTTACTCTCTAAAAATGAATTTGTCAAAAATGTCATAGCGAAAAAGCAGCCACTAATAATTCTCGTCAACATCAATTTGTATCCAGGACATTTAGCAGTCAATTCCTAAGAAATATTATTCGCTGAATCTGAAAATGTCGTCAAAAGTTATAAAAGTAGAACAGTTTTTGAAATATAATTAATTTTACATATAATATGGAATTGACTGTATCTCAAAAACTGCTTAACTTTTATAGTTTTTGACGGTCTTTTCGGATTCAGGGGACAATTTTACATAAGAATTGGCTGGTAAATGTCCGGAAAACAAATAGAGTATGATATTGGACATATGTCCAATAATAGAAATTTACATTTTTTACCAACCAGTATTTGGACACTGGCCATTTACTGTTTGTTTTCAGAATTAAAATTAAAACGCATTAAAGTGACAATGTTTAAACCATGAGGAACACATTTATACCACACACTGATCTGTATAATTTTTATAAATATTTTTATTGTAATTTAACAAAAACAAAAATCTTACCACCAAAGTAACGTGCGAACTTTTTTGTCCTATATTGGGCCCAAAATAAAAGTAGTTCTATATTATTACCGACTATAATATTTATAGAACTCTTGTTTTTACAGTATTAATGTTAATTGTCCAATAACTATAAAGTGTCCGATAACTGTCTACTTTACCCTATTTATTTTGTAAAATTAAAAACTTGTTAGAATTTTTTTAATTTTCCAAAATCTTTAAAATTTACAAATTTCACAAAAATTTTAAATAATAAAAAAAATCTGATATATTAATAAACAATATACATATGTATCTTATAAAAAAAATAAACTCTAAACCACGTTTTATTTATTTTCATCTTCAACATGTCTGACTTTTCTGGCCTTTTCCAGTATTAAATCTAACTTTTGGTTAAATTCTCTGTTATACTTGTTATCCAAGTTAGTTCTATCAATATATACTTGTTTTTTTATGTAATCGGGTATTTTCGGATAAAACAAATGGATAAGATACAAAATAAAAAATATTAATGCCTAAAACAAAATTTATTACTCATTATACCTATATACATACATAATATGTAATACATATACACATTATGTTGTACCAAGCCGTTAACCTAGTTAAAGTAACAAATTATATTGAGTCAATTCAACCAAATATTATTATACAGGGTGTCCCGAAATTAGGGGGCCAAACTTAAACAGTGCATTCTTCATAGAAAAGTAACACTTTTTTATTAAATAAACATGTATCAAAAAATGCCCCCTAACGGAGCTACGGCCCCCTGAATAGAAGCCTAAGAGAATAGTTTTTTTTAAACATTCCTAGAGCGTTAAACATGAAGAAATGAAATTTTGGCACTTTGGTAATTTTTAGATGCTGAATCAAGATCTAAGATCAAAACTGTTAAAATTTAATCATAGGCGTAACATTTGGGGGGGGGAGTTATAAAAATAGCTTTTCCAAGATAATATTTTAATTTTTTTTTATAAAATTATGAAAACTTATAGTTTTTTACGAAAAATAGGTAATCTTGATTTAAATCGCTCAGATGCACCAGTTTCGAGAAAAATGCATTTATAAATTAATCTGCATAGGATACACATCTCATATTTTCGTTAAAATTTTGTGTTAAAATTTGGAAAATCGCTCCATAATAAAAAATAAGAAAAATCGAGCCAAAAAATATTAAATGAACTACAAAAATAAATGTAGTCAGCAAATACCCCAAACGTCACTTTTGTCCCAAAGCTTTTTAATGAAAATATTAGAAATTATGCTAAGCATAGTAATTTAAATTGCATTTTTCTCGAAAATGGTGCATCTGAGCGATTCAAAGCAAGAGTACCCATTTTTCGTGAAAAACTATACATTTTCATAATTTTATAACCCAACATTAAAATACTCACTCTGCAAAAAGTTGGGGCTGTTTTTGTAAATTTGCCCCCTCAAATGTTACAGTTTTGATTATAGATCCAGATTCAGAATGTGAAAATTACCAAAGTCCTAAAAATTCAGGCCTTCATGTTCAACCCTCTAGGAATAGTTTTAAAAAAATGATGCTCTTAAGCTCCTATTTAGGGGGGCGTAGCTCCGTTAGGGGGTATTTTTTGATATATGTTTATTAAACAAAAAAGTGTTATTTTTCTATAAAGAATGCAATGTTTAAGTTTGGCTCCCTAATTTCGGGACACCCTGTATACATGTATGTATACATACATGTATTATAATACATATACAATGTATTATACATATTATGTTTTATACATATTATGTGGTATACCAAGCCGCTAACCTAGTTAGGGTAACAAATTATATTGAGTCAATTCAACCAAATACATTTATTGGACTGGTAGGTAAACTATATAAATGTTTGTTTTAACCAAATATACAGGGTGAATCGGAATGATCGCACCAAACTCTAGGACTGCATTCTACACATTAAAATAATTCACTCAAATGTTCTTATTCGATTCTTATTTTTTTTGAAGTTATAGCCTAATTAAAAAATAAATAAAATGAAACGGTAAGATTTCTTTAATAGTTATGACTTTTTATAAGGTGTTCGAAAATACCCCCATTGAGTTCTAAACATGCTCTGCTACGTCTGCGAACAGCGCCTGTTGCTTGTCCTATTAACTCTTGTTTTTCTTTAAGAACTGCGCCAGTATTAATTATTCGTTGAATTAGTGCCTCTCGATTATTCACTTTAACTTTGTAAACTTCTGTTTTAAACCAACCCCATAAACAAAAATCTAGTGGTGTTAGATCTGGACTTCTTGAGGCCAACTAATTGGACCTCCGCGACCAATCCAACGCTCTGGAAACATTTCATCCAAGTGTTGCTTGACCTCACGAGCGAAATGTGCAGGGGCTCCATCATGCTGATAGTACATTCGCCTTCTTACGTTTAAAGGGACATTCTCTAGTAATCCTGGCAACTCATTTATTAAAAAATTAAGGTAGTGTTCCCCTGTGAGGCGATTCTCCATGATAAAAGGGCCAATTAAATACCCAGCAATCATAGCACACCACACATTTACTGAAAACATGTGCTGAAAATTGGTTTCGACTATAGCATGGGGATTTTCGTCAGACCATACGTGAGAGTTGTGCGTATTATTAATGCCGTCACGGGTAAATGTTGCTTCATCAGTAAAAAGTATGCGCGATACAACTCTACGATTGTTAGTTACCCACCGACAAAATTCCACACGTCTAGCATAATCTTCCGGGTGTAGAAACTGAACTCTTTGTAAATGGTATGGGTATAAGCCTTGCTCGTGAAGTGTGTGTATTACCCGTTTTTGTGAAATGTCCAATTGAGTAGCGATTCTTCTGGTGCTGGTCGTTGCATCTTCTTCCACTAGATCCAAAATATTTTCCACTTCTTTTAAAGTTTGTCGATCAGCTTTTTCAGATGTTATTTTAGCACTTGGAAGGGTTCCAGTCTCGCAAAGTTTGTTAAAAACTCGAATAAACACGTGGAAAACGTCGCCGATATTCTTCCACAGCAGCTGTGGCATTGTCATTACAAAAGCCATAAACAAAAACCATATTGGCATACTCTAAATTTATATAATAAACTTTTGGCATTTAAAAAAAATTTAAACTGGAAAATTACAAAAATACCACTGACGCTGACAGTTAGGCCTTTTAAATGTAAACAATATGTATAACTATGGAAACAAAAACTTTGTTTCCATAGTTTTTCAAAGAAC